ATTTATTTCTTGATTTTAGAGAACATGAACTCAGTGTTTCAGACATCTAGCCGGTTGGGAGTTACAATATTTCCCTTACATTATTCGGAGTTCCATATATCATCCTCATATTATGTGCCCTATATCAGTAGTTTACTTGTGAAGAATATATTTTTAAGCAGCTTCCTTTTAAGAGTATACTGTTTCCATTGAGCACAGTTTCCTGGTATACCCTGTTGGTCAATATGTACCTCCATAGTCTATGTTTAGCTGAAAGGTAGGGTGGAAATATATCATGTCCCACAGAGGAACCATATGTTCTGTGAAACAAGATGGAGGCCGGGGATTTGGCTCAGTGGTATAAGTGCCTGCCTGACAAGCGCAAGGTTGTGAGTTTGATTCCAGGTACCAAAAAAAAAAAAAAGATGGAGGGCATTACTGAAAGAAAGAAAGGGAGAAGTGGGTATTGGGGGACAATTAGTAAATCACAAGCAGTATTATATTGTTTGTGGTAACTTACTCTAAAAACTTTACCATAAATTGTAACCTGAATCAGTACTTTGGGGTTAGCTAGTGTCATGATTCATTTTGTGCTCCTGTGACAACACCTGAGACCAGGTAACTTATAAAGCACACAGATTTCTTACCATTTTGGAGGCTGTTTGGAGACCTTCTTGCTGAGTCATCCCTTGGTTGTAGAGTAGAAGGGCAAGAAAGCAGGAGAGTAAGAAATGAAAGTTGGAGCTTTTAAACCATCCCCCTCCCCCTACAACGCCTTTCTTTTGGTCCTGGGAATTGAACTCATGATCTCATGCTTGCCAGACAGTACTGTGCTGCTGAGCTATACCCTAGCTTGAGCCCTTTTATAATTGGCTCTAATTCATGCATGGAGGTAGTGCCCACATGACCTTGTACCTCCCATTAGGTCTCACCCCCAACACTGCTGCGCTGGGAATTTTCTTTTTTCTTTTCTAAGTTTTTTTTCTCTTCAATTTTTTTCTTTCTTTCTTTCTCTCTTTTTTTTTTTGAGACGCGGTCTTACTGTATAGTTCAGGCTAGCTCTCACTATGTAGCCTCAAACTTGTGACTCCTGCCTCAACCTCTCATATGTGCGATTACAGGACTACATCACCACACTGAGTGGGGGGATCTCTTTTTCTCCCTGTCTCTTTTTCTCTCTCTCTCTATTTTTTTTTTTTTTTTTGGTCTTTTTGAAATAGGGTTTCACAATACAATTCAGGCTGGCCTCAAGCTCACTTTGTAGCTCAGGCTAGCCTCAAACTCACAGTGATCCTCCTATCAGTCTCTGGGTTGATGGGATTACAGGCATGTGGACTCAGACATTGTGCTTGGGATTAAGTTTCTAACACAAGGTTTTTAGAGGATGCACTCATACTGCAGCAGCTGATTTTCATACAGATTATTAGAGATAATTTTTGATGAAGTAACTTACAGGAGTCACATCTATTGCATGAATAAGATACAAGAAAACAGTCTTAGCTAGTCCTAAAGCTCCTCAGAAGTGGAACAGTCAGTGCTGTATCTTTCTACTTCATGAGGGATCCCATTTTCTCACATGGCTAAGAAGACTCTGGAGCATTCATTTCAGGATGATCTTTTCTTGACTTGCTGGACCCCTAGCTACAGGGAGAGAGAAGGACTTCATGCAAATAATATGACTTTGTGCCAATTTGCTAAAAAGTACCTTAGCAGGTTTCAGAACATTCTCAAGATAACACTTGGTGGGAATATTGCTGAGTGGGGTCATCTCCTCACCATCATCAGAAGGTACTAAAATTCATCACAATAGAATGTAGCGATATTTGGCTCAGGCAGGCTAGCAAAACCAAGTGTAGCTAGAGATGACCTAACACTAGGACTTTGCTCCTCGCCTCTTTGCTTCTTTCTCTATGTGGATGTTACTTGTCACTTTCTTCACATTGATCTTCTCACTGAGGTGGCATCCATATCTTCCAGCTTCAGAAGCAGATAGAAAAGGAACTCTTCCCTTAGCCCCATTTGATAAACTCCTGGGAAGAGACTCTGTGCCTGGGGGAGGTAGTAGGGCCTGTGATTAGCCTGCTTGGACAGATAACCACCCCTACCTTCCTTTCTGTATCTGGGACACATTATCGTACTAGCTTTTGTTTAACTCCCCATAAGACCCGAGTAGGGAGTAGATCTTGTGCCATGGTGGAAGAGGAAAATTTGAGTCTATTACAGCAGATATATAGCCTGACTAGTTATTTACAAGGCAGTCATTATGAAATATGCAATTGGTAACCTTAATGTCACTTTTCTTATCATATGTACATAATTATTATTATTATGCAAGGTCCTATAAGGCTTATTGTTTCTGAAGCACCTGTCATATAGAAAGCATCAGTGAGTAAATCTGCTGCTGGTGGTAACATTAAGGTTGCTATTATCTTCTTCCCAAGGGATTGAACATTGTTATTTTTCTAGAACAGGTCTTGAGGATGTTTTTGCCCTCCCCTTAAATCTTCAGCAGTTTTCCATTAACTCTTGAATAAAGCTGAATTTTAAAAATTATTTATCTTTTTTCAAACCCTTTGCTTTTTTTTTTTTTTTCTTTTTTTGAGACAAGTTCTCACTGTGCAGTATTTCAGGCTAGCCTGAGTTCATTTTATAGCTCAGGCTGGCTTCTTATTTGTGGCAGTCCTCTTGCCTCAGCCTCCTGAGTCATGGGACTATAGGCTCATGCCACCACGCTGGCCTAAACCCTTTCCTATCTGAACCCTGAAATCTTTTGTAGCCTCAGTTCTATGTTCTTCTTTGCCTTCTGTGCTCTGATCTATAAGTCTATGAATAGGAAAGTACGATTTCCTGCAGACCTTGGCCTGAAATGATCTCTCTCCCTTACTTTCCCTTTTATTAGATCTCTTCTTTCCATTAGGCACTACATTGAAATTTCAAACCTCTGGAGCCTGGGTTCTCAACTTGCTGGTTGTGTTCATGAAATGCTTATCTTTGCTCTGCTTTAGAATTGTTTATCTACTAGTCTTCTTTTTATTTGCATATTGCAGAAGTCTAAATCTTTATAGAATGTTCTATATTCTTTTTTTTTTTTTTTTTTGGTACTGGGAATCAAACTCAGGATGTTTTATAGTCTTGATTTGCCTGCTTACTTCCTAGTTATGTCTGTTTTCATTATTTTCAGTTGTTTTTTGTGTGTTTTTGTTTTGTGGTACTTGAGATAAAACCTGTAGAGTGTTGAGCTACATATTCAGCATTTTCTTTGAGACAGAGTGTCACCTGTCCAGTCTCAACCTTCCAAGTAACTGGGATTACAGGTGTATGCTACCATGTACTGTTCTTTTATTAGCATTTGAAAATGCATAATATCAATAGTGGTATCATCACTGGGGCTTATGCGTCCTGTTTCTTTTTCTTTCTTTCTTTCTTTTTATGGAATGCTTCACAAATTTGTGTGTCATCCTTGCACAGGGGCCATGCTAATCTCTCTATCATTCCAATTTTTTTTTCTTTTTTAGTATATGTGCTCATACATATGTAGTCCTATTTTCACTGATTATGATTTTGTTTTAAAACTGGTGAAAAAAGATCAAGGGTCACTGGCTGTTACAAGTGATTGAGTTTACTTTTCTTTCTAACCTCATCAGGTAGTTTCTAACCAAATTGTTGTTTTGTATATTGCCTTTATACTTTTGAAGGAAAGACAAGTTTAGGATATAATAAAAGTGCCCTTAAGTGCTTAAGGAATATTTTCTTAAATATACTTTGCTAACTATATTATGACTAATAACTTTTTTCAGTCTCCCTTGGTATTGAGAAAATTTTTTTCTAAAATGTATAATTTCTTGTATTTATAACTAGAATAAAAAATTAACTAAATAAAAAATTCTGGTCAAGTAGGACAATTAAATGTGAAATGTGATTATAACATAGCAGCTTGTTTTGTTTCTTACATAGGTGGAATACAGAAAAATATCAGTTTATTCAAGAATTAAAGATTTGACAAACTTGGTTCCTTGAAGTTTTACCTTATTACACATGACCAATTTAATTCTAGGAATATTTACTGTATGTCAGTGCAGTGCTGTGGTGTATAACAGCTTTTGCTTGATTCAGGCTGGTGAGGGAGACATACCTGGTAAGCAGCATTCCATCAAGAAATGTTATTTAAAGGCTGGGGATTTAGCTCAACAGCATAAACGCCTGCCTGGCAAGTGTGAGGTTGTTAGTTCAATCCCTGGTACAAAAAAAAAAAATGTTGTTTAAGCACCTAATGTGTGCCGGACACTATTCTGAAGCATAAGAGAAGCCAAGATTGTTCTTTAAGGAATGTGCCGCAGGGTGATGCCCGCCACCACAAGAAAGCACATGAGACTGTGAGTCAGGATGGGCATCGAAATCAGGCAGCTAAGGCACTTGTGAGTGAAAGTACCATCGGCAGAAAGTCTGGGTCAGGGCCATTTCAGGCAAAGGAACACTGGATGAGAAGTCATGGAGGCAAAAAATGTCACCCAACTGGAGAATTGCAAATACGTAGTGCCAATGCATTATCTGTCAATATGTAGTCATCTGGCTTTGTTGGGATCATCTGGGATTAATTCTTAAGCATTTTCTGTCTCGCTCAGATAGGAAAACAGTGGGTTGGAATTAAGGAATGTAAAGGCAGAAAAAATATTACAGTGTAACAGTTGTTGTAATAAAAGGCATATAAAAAATTCCCTGATTAGATTAATTTAGATAGACTATAAGCTATTTTCATTTAAAATCTGGTAACTCCCCTATCATGGAAAGAGAGAGTTGGAAGAAGAGATGGGTAATACTGTAAATCATGGGTTTTTTTTGTCTCCAGAATAGTTGATTGGTCTGTTCATTTTTTTTTTTTAAAGCAGTCAAATTTAGCAGTGTGTGGGGGGTGGTATACCAACTTTAGTGACACTAATGTTAATAAGTTCTGATAACCCACTGCCATCAGACCAGCCGGTCTGTTCATTTTTTAATCATTGGATGTTTTGTTTTTCTTTTAGTCCAAGGACAAAATGATGAGAGGCTCTCGCAGAGGATGCGTTAGACTCAGAGTGAGTATCATTTTTTTGAAAATGATTTTGACAGGAAAAAAATGTTATTTAATGAAATAATGGAAATTTATATTTGGGTTAGTTTCCTTACTTAAGTATTGTAAGTGTTGGGGTAGGCAACTAAATCTCAAAGAGGAAAGGTGAGTTCCTTTAAGTAACTGCTAGTCAGTGATTAGAACTCAGTTATTTTGGTCCATAATTTAAAGTATTCATGAGTTAAAGCACTGGCTGTTTTTTTTTTTTTTTTTATTAAAAGAAGTTGTGTGTGTGTGTGTGTGTGTGTGTGTGTGTGTGTATGCATTTAAACACACTTCTATTTTAGGGACAAAAGCTGGAAATAAAATGAGCTGTAGTATTGGTGGTAAAGTGATAGAAGAAAAAAACTGAAAAAAAATCCCTACTATTGTTTTCTTTTTCTGGTGAGACGCTAATTTTCTATCTGTCTGTCTGTCTAATCAATGCTGTCTAGCAGAAGTATAATTTCAGCCACATATACATTTTATTTGTAGCTACATTTAAGAAAAAAGTGAAGGGCTGGGGATATAACTCGGTGGTAGAACACTTGCCCTACGACAGTCATGAATCTTTTAGCGCTTGCAGTGGCACACATAGCCCACTGTGGCATGCGTGCTGTAGGTTTACTACCATTGCCCTAAGATGTACAAGACCACGGCTGTGATCCCTAGCACAAGAAAAAAAATTAATACTTTGTTCAGGATGCTGTATCCAAACTATTATTTTAACATGTAATCAGTGCAAAATGATTAATATTTTTCTTTTTTCATACCAAGTCTTCAGAATACAGTGTTACTATCCTCAATTCAGACTAGATACTTTCAGGGGAAGGGCTCAGTAGCACTTACGATTAGCTGCTACCTAATTGGATGGTGAACGTCTTAACTTTATGCACTTTTTAATTGTTCATTTAATTTTCATCACAGTCCCAATACAGTAGTTAAAGGCAAGCAAAAAAGTGTGTCTGCGGATACATTTTCTCATACTCCACCATACCTAAAGAAGACTCTGCTTCTGTCACAGCTAGTTTAATCAGCTTCTGACAGGCCTTTTTCAAGAGTCTTTTACTCCTGTCCTGCAATCCAGTGTGCATTGCTAGTTTTGAAGATGTGACTATATCTGGTAAACATAATGCTTTTGTTAGCAATCCTTGTTGGAATTGGGAAATAACTCAACTGAGATAGGATTAAGTATGGCAGATTTGCAGGATGGAAATGAGACAAGCCTGTTTTGTGCAGATGATATGTATATAACAGATTTTAAAAAATCAATGTACTATACTGTACCTTTTTATTTTTAAAATTTCCTTTGGTTTTTCTTTTGTCTGTTTGATCTAATTGCTTTTCTAAGCATTTAGGACTGACCTCAGTCACCAGTCAGTCTGGTATCAAATGCTTTTTTGGCTTCAGATAGGCTCAGCATTAAGACTGGCAGAGCTGTATTAAGGTAGTGCGTTAGCTGAATTTAGTCCACATTGAAGCCACTATCTTGTTATTAGTGTTCTGGGTTTGTTTTGGATTGTTTTTGCTTTTAAATACAGTTGGATTGATTACTAACTCTTTCGGCTACTACTCAGGTCAAGAAATAGACTTTGGCCAGCTGCCCCCACAAGCTCATCATGTGCCCCGAGTTATACACTCTACCTATCTCCTAGAGTAATCACATTTGTTATAGCTGTTGTAACCCCCCCAAAAAATAAGGCCCCATGATAAAAACCGGGGCAAGACCCCTGAGATGAAAAATGGGCAAGATGATGTCTTTTTTAAAAAAGCGCTTTTATTTTAGCTGGCCCAGCGACACAGTGCAGATGGAATTTGCAAAGCTGTGCAACTGAGTTAGAATTTTGACTGATTTTTATAGTTCATTTATGATTAGCTCATTGATCATTAAGTACATAGCAATGAGAAACAGAAACAAGGTGGGCCTTTGTTCCCCTTTGCTTGAGGTCAGAGGCATTTTACAGTGGGTGGTTAGCCAATTCATAGCCCTTTGTCTGCCAACTCCAGGAACATTTGTCTCTCATAAAGGGAACAATGGTTGACACAGCATCATTTGTCTCTTACAAGGGGAACAAAGTTTGACACAGCAAACAGTTTACTGGTGTGGGGGGGAACGATGCATACAAAACAGCATGAGGACACAGTCAGTTAATCTGTAACTGTGGTTAGTGCTTGGTTACTAGGGCAATAAGCATAGAACATAACAATAGCAAACATTTCTTTATAATTTTATCACCCAGGTGTGCATCCCTAAATTTTATAGTTTTATCTTGCCTATTTTGAAACAATAGTTCACCCTGGGCGTTGTTTATGCACTGATAATCATAAGCGTCATTTGGGCACACTTTCAACCAGTGAATTCTTGTATTGAATAAATTTGATAAATTGTCATTTTTACATTTTGTCTTATAATTCATAAAAATTAACAAAAATAGTGGGGCATGGTGGTGCACTTCTGTAATCTCAGCATTTGGGAGTCTGAGGCAGAAGGATTGCTATGAGATCAGCCTAGGCTACATAGTTAAAGGCAGCGTGAACTACATAGCGAGACACTGTCTCAAAAAGACAAAAAAAAAAAAAAAAAAAAAAAAAAAAAAGGAAAAGAAGTAAAAAAAGAAAGAAAAAGCAGTTTTTGGTCATCCTGTACTTAAATACTTGGACTGAAAAGTGGTTAAAACCTCATGTCTTTTGTTTGTAATCTGTTTACTGAAGAAGTTGACCTGTAGGAGTTTGCATCGTGTATATGTTACTGACTGCATACTGTTATATTCAGCATGTTCTGGCTTCTGTTTTTGCTGAAAATTGGCAGCTGCATCCAGAGACTGAGTCAGGCTCAGATTTGACCCATTTGGGAAAATTATAGGTGGTGGTGTATTCTTTCAGTAGGAGGAATAGAAAGCCTGAGTGTGCTTTTCATTGATAGTAGCTGCCATTGTTACTTAATACCTGTACTTTTTAAATCATTGAGAATTGCAGTTTCTTTCTTTCTCTCTCTCTTTTTTCTTCTTTTTTTTTTTCTTGAGACGGTCTTGCTATGTAATTTAGGTTGGCACAAGTGCTGGGACTACAGGTGTATGCCACCACGCCTGGCCAAATTTCAAGACTGATGAATTGGCTTTAAGCAGCCTCTACTTACATATGTCTAGAAGAACTGAAAGCAAGGATTTGAACAGATGTTTGTGTACCCATGTTTGTAGCAGAATAGTCACAACAGCTAAGAGGTTGAAACAATCCATGTGTTCATACACAGATGAGTGGAGAAATGAAATGTAGTGTATGCTTGTAATAGACTATGTTTTATCTTCAATTGGAAGGAGATTCTGACACATGCTGCAACATGGGTGAACCTTGAGGAAGTTACACTAAGTGATGAAATAAGTCAGCCACAGAAAATCAAGTAGTATATGCTTCCATTTATTCAGTGTTAGGTACTGAGAGCAGTCATTTGTAGGATCAGAAAGCAAAAAGGTATTCTCCAGGGAGTGGGTGTGGGAAAATGAGAAGTGATTGCTTAGTGGGCATGGAATTTCAAATTGGATGGTGAAAAAGGCCAGGAGATGGATGGGTGATTGTTGCGCAGAAGTGAATGTATACACAGTCATGACCTTGAAGCAGTAAATACCATGTTGGCATGTCTTAGCAAACACACTGTTTGACTGTGCTGTCTCATTGTTCTACATGTTGAATATCTCAGCTGTTTTACTGCTAAACCAAACAAAGTAGAAATCAAGGGGTTGGCCAAGCTGGGGCTCTTACCTCAAGACTTTCAGGAAGAATCCTTTTCCAGGCTCACTCTGGCTGTGGCAGAGTTCACTGCTTTGTAGTTGAAGACCTGCTGTACTTGAGATCTCCATTTTCCTGCTGACTGTTATTTGTGATGTACCAACTGTAGCTAAGGCTGTGTGCGGTATACTGAGCCCTTCCATCCTCCAATCAGACAAGTACATTAACCCTGAGTACATTAAGCCCTACCTGGCTTCCCTTCTAATATAGTACTTTGAATCACTTCCCATTCTGCTACCAGCTGCAGAAAGCACTCTTCTTTTAAAAGGTTTTATGTGATCAGATTAGGTTAAATCCACTAGATAATCTCTTTTTAACATTACATTTAAAAAATAAGCACTTCAAAAATAAAATAAAAATAATCACTTTAGTGGTATCATACTCAGTTTCTACCCACATTCTGGGAAGAGGATATTATATAAAGACAAAAGTCACTGAGTCATCCTTAGAATTCTGTCTGCCACATTGTACCACTGAGAATTAGATGCACCTGTGTTTAAATCCCATTTTTTTATCCTTTGCTTTGTTGACTAAAAGAAGGAAGCTATTTAAAAAACTTTCTGAGCCTGTTTGCTTTAAAATGGGAATTATAATACCCTTCTTGCAGTATTTTTGACGATTAAGTACCTGGCAGATAGAATCTCTTTATTAGAGGTATATATATATGTGCATGCATGTGTACTAGGACATTTTAGGAAGCTTGTGATACTTTCAGAAAATTATAGACTCTTATTTGGCTATTTAGGAAACATCTAGAGAGTTTAAGATAATAGGTTCCAAAATCCTATCTAGACTTGCTATTTGAGAATACTATTCTAGAACTTTTTTTATTTGTTTATTTATATTTAGATACTGAGGTTGAACTGAGGGCCTTCACACTGAGCTATATCCCAAATCTCTTTGTTTTGAGAGTAGGTCTTACTAACTTGCTAAATTAGGTGTCCAGTTTAGTAGCATTGTGAACCTTCTACTTCAGCATGCCAGTGCTGGGAATATAACATGTGCCACATTCGTAATTTAAAACCTTTATTTTTAAATGTATTTTCTAGGTGATTGTGTTGTGCGTCCAAGTGCAGGACCACTGGTGTAGAAAGAATCTGTGATCTGGGCATATTCTCACTGAATTCCTCTAACAAGTTTGGTGCTGTCCATTCCTCTGCCTTTTTACATATGTTGTTTGCAGCTGAGAAAGTACTTTGTTAC